TTAATACTAAACATTCACCGACGCAGCTCGAACAGAAATCTCAGGCTTATACAATAATTCATTTAAAAAGTGCATCTTAGGTAGTCTAATCTGATCATATACACAAGGGTGAATCTGAGATTTTGTTCACACTGGTAAACTGGGTGACTGCTGTATCTGACATTACCCATAGTCTGTACAGAGATATGGCGGATGAATCTGTGGTCTGTTGCAGATCTAGAAAATTAATTTTCGGTGTTCCTACCAGCTTCTGCTTATCAAAGACATGATATTGATCAGAGATGGATGAAAGAGATGTTTATATTGTCGAAACGATTTCCCCCAAAGCGGATCTCACAGATTTACAGTTTCGATCTTGGTTCGCTATATCCCCAAACTCCACCACAGGTGTTTAAACAAGCTTTCTCTCCATTTCCGCTGATGAAATCATATATATTTGATTGAATGTCTTAAATATTATCAATGAAAAACAGTTAGTAAATTCTCTCTAACTTTAAAATTGAAAACCACGTTATCTAAATCTACTTCCGGTTTCTAGCCATTAACACCCGTGTTGATTAAACGCCGATTAGTACTATATGGTTTGGAAAAAGAATATATTTCTCTTAAATTTTGTGTGTTTATTTAACGTCCCTTCGAAAAAATTTACTAACATTGAGTTGCCGCTTGTCGGTGGAGGGCTGCCAGTCTAAACCTGTACTCCGCATTTATGGCAATTGAGCAATGAGGGATCATTTTAGTGGCAACACATCCGGAGACTCGAGACATCGGTTAACACGGTTTCATCCGAAGGACCGGTCTCTCTTTCCCACAGTGGGGTTCGAACCCGCGACATACTCTGCGAATCCATACTAAGCAGAAGCTTATATAACAATACAAGAGAAAAATTCTAAAAATAAATATAAAGTAGAAGACAGGTCTTAAAAATATATCGATTGTTTTTCATTGAAATGCCACATGCTTTAGACTTCAATTCTTTACTTATCAATAGCACATCATGTCGACATAACTAGATGAGAAAATAATTGATTGTAAAAGGTAGTATGATTGTATTAATGTATATAGCAATAATTAATTAAAACTTTCACCGTGCTCCACTTTAAACTTGTATTTCTTCAATAAAAGAGAGAAGGAAAGAGAGTTGAAAGCTCCGAAATTTTCTCATCATTGTTTTTTAGGGATAGGGATAAGTTAATTGGCCGTACTTTAGAAATATTTTCCGTTTTCTTTTTTTCAATATCATTTGCTTTATCATGACAATATTTTTTTTAATTCCTCTATTTATGTATTTATATAAGTAATACCCCCACCCCCAAGTGAAGCGCTTGTTCACAAAGTGCGATTGTTTAACTTAAATCTCTTTAAACAAATAGTAATTAATCACTTTCCGACCGTTTCTTTTTTTTTCAAACAAGCCCGTCTATCAACTGTAAATCATCCAATAGGTGTCGCCCCGGAGCCTCAAATAACAATAGGGCTTTCAATTGGAGTAGAATTACTAGATAAATTATTTATAGCAAAAGATGATAAAAATTAGAATCGATTCCAGAATCATTTTAGGATACCGCTAGATGTTTGATAAATTGCTTTAAAGGAATATTTAAAATATCAGATAAAATGATCAATTTCCAAAATTCATTTTGGTCGATTTGGATCCAATTTCCAGAAATGTAGAACTATATGATCCAAAGAGTACTGTGCTTTATAAAACTATTCCGGAGAGAGAGAAAGAGACTGAGTCTGAAAGAGGTCTATTCAAACTATTCGACTCTCATTAGAGGTTTTATAATTGACCTAACAAAAGTTGCGCCATTTAAAAATGTCAAACACATGCCTTCATTTCCCTTATCCTGGAAATATCCTTGGGTGACGTACTAGTATTCTGGATTGAACATTTCATTGGAACATTTCATTTTGATTCTGCCAGACCAGGTGCTAATGAGATAAGTTAGAATAGCCTTTTTTTATAAGTACATGTAAATCCTTCTACTGTTTTCTGTTACTGACTTTTTATCAGATGATTAATATTTGTTAAAAATCAAATTTCTTCAGAAAGAGCTGTAAATCGTTTGCTCTTATCGCAGTAGGTTTCACCTGCTGTTAGTACTAAAGCCATGTTCCATTTTAACAGCAGTGGTTTGTCTTGACAAATGACTTCGGTCCTTCTGGAAAAAAAAGCATGCAAAAGTGACCCCCCCCCCCCAAACTAAAGACTGGGAATATTTAACCTGTAATAAGTAGTGACAACTTCAGGTCTTCAGAAGTTCATTGTCTTTAGAGAAAGAATATGATTAATAACACTCTCATAAATCTAGCATGTGTGTATACCAAAATGTGTTTCATATTGGCGGATGAGGAATACCCAAGCAACTTATTGTTTACAGTAAAACAACAATAAAGCTAAAACCAACCTTACAGCAGACCCTGTATACCGATTTTATCTACTTAATTTTTATCGTAGGTCATGGGTACCTGCCATTTGCTAGTTCTTCCAAAAGAAGGTTCAAAGTCTTCCAACGATTATGAATAGAAGTTACAGTTGCTTATTTAAATGGTCAAAATACTTGCAATTAAATTGATCAAGTAATTTATCGTGGCTTATTGAAATGAATCGAAAATTAAATTAGCAAATTTGTAGTTTTAATTTTTTTTTCTTTTAACTTGGAATGAATCTCTTGCCTTTCAATCAGCTGAAAGTGACATTAAATCTACTGTAAGGTTGTTAAATGGCAGAACTCTGTCATTTAGACTTAATGACCTTTGCAGGCCTTTCAGTGACAATTCAGTTACATGAATGGTGAAGTTCTAATAGAAGATTACTCTAACTGCATAGAAATACCATGAAATTAGAACTCAATCTTTGGTGGACAAGCACTTTGACCAAAGATTTTTGTTTTCTTATAATATAAAAGTTGTTCGTTCACATCTTATTTCCTTATCTCTTCTCAAACATGAAACCAGAGGTAAAATTTTCGGTTTCGCGAGGAAATCATTATTTGACAAAAAAATTTGACTTACTTTATACATTCGCAAACTGCTTCATGGAGAAATTAATTGTACAGCTTTTTTCCTCAACTTGCTTTGAGAGAATTTGCTTAAGAAATTTAAGTCTTAACAAAACCTTACCCTTTTATGAAACCAATCTTACGCCTAATTAAGAAAGAAAAAAAATCCGCTTTCGAAGTTTGAATTTAATTGTCTTGTTTTCCTCTAATTAATATCTAAAGAATCGCAGAAAGGAAGAATCCTGCGAGATATACACGTAGAAATCAACTGAAGCCAAAATTAAAGGAACGTCACAATTTGAAATCCTTATAAAATAGCACAGCTACATGTATAGGCCAGTTCCCCTATTGCGTGACCGTTTAAACCTGTGAAAGCTGGATAGTAGTAATGCTTCTGACAGGTGCTTGTTTACTAATTCATTAATTAATTATGGAAACAAACAACTGCGTCGGTGCCTGATTGCATTATCTACGTAGATCATACTCATACAGATCCATTCATCCGATGTAAAATCCTCGCGCCTTTTTATCACGATAATCGTTCGCCCCCCTATTAGTCCTGTCGACTTTTCATTTCAGATATCTGGGGTTGTTCAACATTATGTATACATGCCCATTGATCGGCTTGATAACACGTAAAAAGGAATTCTAATTACACACAGCATCAGCACGGCATATCAACAGCGATAGCAGGTTATATTTCTTTGCATACCGGTATTTTAAAAACATATTCTATTTCAATCAATACAAAATCACTATCTTTTGATATGCTTTCCTAATAAATTATGTAAGTATGATAAAGAACTTTCATTTAAATCGAAATTCCAGGAATAAAGTAACAGGAACCAGAAATCAATAATCAGTATAAAATAAATATATATACATGTATATTAAGAAGAAAAAAACATAAAGTAAAAAAATTAAAAGTAATATTTGGACATTGAATTTTATTAAATTTTCATAGCCTGCTACATGTAAATGTAAAAAAAAAAATAGTAGCAGCTTTCGGATACATGCAGTCAGGGAAGTGTATACTAACTGGTCCAGTATATGCATGTACGTCGATTTTTTTTAAAATACATACCCCCCATTCCTCCCTAACTCAGTGGAGCTGATCTTAAAGAGTTCATCTCTACAGTTACATGTAATTTTACCTTGCATGAGCCCAAATATAATTTTACCTTCACATATATACCCAGAAATGATATAAAAGGTGTTAATTCACGATAATTTTCCTTCTTCCACTCAACCCCCTCTTACCATTTCCCCTCTCTCCATCCCTATCTCCTACCCCCTTTCTCTCTCCCCCCTCTTTCTCTCTGCTTGTCTACGTTTCATGTCTTTTTATTGGTGGCATCAACCTCGTCGGTTACTCCATAAACCTAGTAACCAATGCTGAATATTTAATGGAAGCAGAATACGTCGAGAAAATGATCACCAATTAAAAAGAAGACTCCTCTCAACCGTGGAGACCTCGTAGACGCTAATCATTCTAAATATCACACATGATGCTTCATTCTCATTTATTAAAAAAAATATTTGAAACATATGCACAGACAATAATTTTAGAAGATAAAAAAAATCTAGTCTGTATTTTTTTTATCTTAAAATTCTAAATCGAAATCTCTGTATACATATTTTTCTGTCGTGAAAACAAAACTTATTGACAGCTTATAGAATCTCGAGCTAACCCCCGACTGAGGAAAGAGAATCGATTTAGATCAATATATGTTAATTTTACACTTGAAGCCCCCCGATTTGTACAGACCTCTCGTACAATCACGGTCCCCACGGGGGAAATTCCAGCACTGGTCCAGATGAACCCGGAAACGCAAGGTCGAAAATTAGGGGGCCATAAAACTTGTCAGTAAAATCATAATCTCATCTCTAAATGGATACAGCGGGCCGCGTTCCCCCCGACTCGAGAAATTTTAAACGGATCGTGGGGGAAGCTTTATCTACTAAGATAGCGGCAGTAAAATAAAAGCTACCTACCTGTCAGGGTGAAATCTTTCCCCAGAATTAAGTAAATCCATAATTGCTTCTTTTTCAAACACTAAAGTCCTGGTGAACCGACTGAAAAGAGAGGAATATAGTGATTATAGATCCGCGTTTCAGCAGCCGGTTCCGAGTCTCTGTAGAATATTGATTGCGGGCGATTCCATTAGCTAGCGGAGATGGCAGCACTGCGTTCACACACAGAGCTCCGAATCCTCAATAGAGGAAAGTATTGATATCGGTGTATACTATTTTACTTTTATAGCATTTTCAATAATTTTTCTACTGCTTGGCTATCGGTCTTTTATTAATGATCCACAAAACAATATTTACTCATGGTCGGTAGAATATCTTTATCGATCCCCATTCGGTGACTGTTCGACATCTTTTAAAACACCTTAATTTAGAACAAATTTATATTATATTATTTTACCAAAAAATGATCTGTATAAACCTTTGTGAATTCTTGATGATGACTTTCTCTTTGAAGATAACAAAGACATCATTTCTAGCTCATAAAGCGTTTTATATATTGGTAATGGTATCGGTTTTTCCAGACGTCTCTATCTCGGAACCAGATGTTGAGGGCCTTTCAAGCATTTTAAACGGAATCGATTCATCGATCTCAACCACCCACCACACAATGAGCACTGGTGAGAATTGTTGAAGGGCATTTGGTGTCTAAAGACTTGGTAATGAAGTTGTCCATGACTGTTAACCTGGCCCATCGACCGTCCACTGATCTTCTGCGACAGCCATTAACTTCCCCGGAGTTGCGGGTACGACAGACCCAGTGGTATGTCCAAGGCTCGCAATCATAAACACATTTTCTGAAATTTCCAAGTTGTTCTGTTGGAAACCACTTAAATGTAGGAAAAGAGCGTTCGAATAACTATGATTTTCCCCCATTTTCTTCTGTTTTATTTCCTGAGGATGTTTTTTATTTAAATAATATTTTGGATGATGATGAAAATTGGATAAAATATACAAATGTGTTAAAACGTTCCCACTAGAACTATTCCATGTTATGATTAAGTATAAACAAATTAAGAATAACAGAACCATCAAAGGTCTTGACCAAAAATTTAACATGTACCACAAACAAATGATCCGTGTCGGGGATATCGGGGGTTGGAGGGCGTTATTCTCTTAGGTTGATAATTGTTTTATAACAAACATTCCAAGTCAACAGGAAAATCTGAGGCGTACACTGATATCACTGCTCTCACGTAAACACAAACAGAAAATGGTTGCTCGTATTTCTCTGTAAGTTTAAAATTTTAAAATTATTTAACATTTTTACTGGTTGATGAAGTAAGGATGTTTCTGACACAATGATATGACGTAGTCCGGGAAAGTTCGATATGACGTAAATATACTAGCATGTCACCTGCTAATGAAATGTAATCACAGTTTTTAAAATAGTTCAATGCGTATGTGTGACGTTAATCATATAAGCATGAAACCGGCTACTGAAATATACATGCAGTTATACAATAGTACATTAACAGGTATGTGACGTATAATATTAGCATAGCAGCTCTAAACAGCACTTTGAGACCAGTATCAAATTGACTCCTCCTGAAATATACAGTCACTATATTGTGACAGTTCTATATGACGTAAATATTTATTTTAGCATATCAACGGCTATTAAAGTATACAGTCCATTCGATGCTGGACAGTGTAATATGACCTACATAATTATTATTTCTAAAAGACCACATACCATTCAATTTAGAATAATCTTATAAGTCAACATTCAAAGAACTTTAGTTCTTCTCTTATAAACACAAAAAACGTTATCAAATGTGATTGTGACCTTTAATCCTTTCTCCACACAGTCAATTATGTCATTCAATCATTTAAAACAAAGAGTTATTTATCTCAATTTCTTAAAACTCATTTTCTTCTTCCATAGGTCAGATGGCGCAGTGGTTATCTACAGGCCCTTTCACAATTGGCGCACGAGCACTTTACAACACTTTGCGATCGGAAAATTTTAGCTTCGCACGAGCTATAGCATACGTTGCACGATGTCTCGCATTCATTGCATGTGTTTTAGTGGTCGCATCAAGTCTCCTCAAAATAGTCAACATGCCCACTATTCAGACGCGACCAAATGCGATAAAAATTATCGCAATTCAACTTTCCTGCCCAGAAAATTAGTACGAACGTCTTACAACGTTTTATGTAAATTCCTATGAAAAACTTAGTGATTTTGCACGATTTTTTAACAAACTTGATCGTAAGATGAATCGCAGCTGTCTTTGCGTGTGTTTTGCGAAAAAGATTTTTAAAGATTGCTAAAGATTATATATTCATGTAATCTTGCAACGTTTTACCATCATTGCTTGATTTATCACCTTCAATTGCCATGCTTTGCAACAGGCATATATACCGTGTATAATTATAAGCATCTTAACTATGTCAACTGAAGAGCGTCGGAAACGGGTGGTATATATACTGTACCCGGCCCTCTGACTCGCACAAATTTGAATCTACTATGGAATGCTTCCATGAGTTTCATCTTTCCTGCACCGCACGTCCAATTTTTTGTCGCACGTTTTTAACAAATTCGTCCGATTACCTGATCAGGGCGTGCAATCCTATCGCATTATCATACACCACTCGCTTTCATTCTACAACAGTCGCATATAGACGCAAGATATATCGCAAGATTTAATGCACAACAGTAGCTTATCGAGCAAATTTCGTACGAACACTTTTTGCATATGCGATTATTTTGGCACACAGTCAATTATGTCATTCAATCATTTAAAACAAAGAGTTTTGTCGCTTCTGCTCGTTTTCTTCCAATTGTGAAATGGCGCAGTGGTAAAGCGTCTGCTCTAGAGTCGCGAAGTAAGGAGTCGATCCTTACGTCGCGGGTTCGAATCCCACCGTACGCGTGAGACGTGGAAATTGTATAAACCGAGGTCCCGTGTCGCAGTAGGTGCTGGCACGAAAAAGATCCCTCACTGCTCAATGGCCCTGAGAGAAGAGTTTAGGACAACATTTGTAGCTCTCCACCGGCAAGTGGTGGCGTCTCCATATGATTGAAAATTCTCGAGAGGGAGTTGAACAACATACAATCAATCAGTGTTGATAGTAAAACCGGTTAAGTAAAAGCGGCAAGGTGTACGTAACAAAAACTTTTTTTTAAAAATCAACAAAACAGGGACCACTTGTCTATTACTGTGTGACCGTACTTGTCTGTTACTATGCGACATGACCTATATGATATGCTGAGTTAACAGCAGATGTTAAATAATTACTGTTTTATCTATTAATGAAGAATAAAAAAAATCAAAGCAATTAAAGAGGCCTTTCCAAAATATTTTATTATAAAAAAGCCATAACCATTGATTATCATTATTCATTTTAAAGTTACATTGACTCAAACATTTACATTATTACGACAATGCCAAGTCAGCCAAGATACGTATATCTGGTTGCTATCGTCTCCGGCGCAGTGGTGATGGATTGTTTCTTCCTTGTAGAGAATATGGAAAGTAACTGTATTTCTTAATGGTATTTGATCGTATGGTTTCTCAGTATTTTGATTCTGGTTGACTGACCGCGAGACTGACGACATGCCGCCATGACAGAACGATAAATATCAAACCGCCATCTACCCTTCTTCCGGTGCTGCTGAATTGAAAGAGGAAGTCCTAGATGACCTGCGATACCGAGCCTCTGATCCCGTGACTTGCCGGGACCTACATATTGTACATATATCGGGGCAGAAATCAATATACACTTCTGACAGATGCGTTCTTCTTCTGTAATATACATCACAGGGCCAGGAGACATCAAGCGTGGCTTTCATCCTCTGAAAATTCAAGGAATCCATTTTCTGGGTTAATGGCCTTCCTGTGACACAGCAGAAGCTTCCATTATAAATCGCTTTATAAAATCGGGGTTTTGACGATCCCTGTATATTGATCCAGTCAACACGTTTAAGAAGTCTGATTTCGACTTGTGCAGCATTTTTTTTTTCGGTTGCACAACGATGTACAGTTTAAGAAAACATGCTAGTACCTAATATGTAGTGTACTATATAAATTATAAGTGGTGGTCAAAGAGGTACGATTTCAGGTTTCAACTTCCCAGATGAATGTAACATTTATGTGTACACTGGACAAAAAACTGATAACTCCTAATTTTATCAATTTATTGTATGCTGTTTAACGTCTCTCTCAAAAATTTTTCACTCATTTGGAGACGCCACCACTTGCCGGTGGAAAGCTGTAAATTTTGTCCTATGCTTAGCACTCATAGCCATTGAGCAGTGAGGGATCTTTTTCGTGCCAGCACCTACTGCGGTTTTATAAGGCCTCATCCAAAGGACTGGTGTTCACCTCCCAAAGTGGATTTCGAACCCGGATTCAATTGATAAAGAAAAGATATTTCATTAAAACGAGTAGATGAATTAATATAACAAAATTTTAAAATATGTAATAAATAGAGACTTTGAATAGGCGATATATCTCCCATTTGAATAGTGATGACTCCGTTTTCGAAAGGTGAAGCCACCTTTTCGAATAAATGATATTAACGTACTAGTAGTTGAATATGTAATATTACCAATTCAATATTGCTTGTTAAAAAGATTATACACCACTTAATGATAACCAAAACATCACCTCATACTCCGGTGAGCTAAAATGTGCAGCAATGGGGATAAATTTTTTTAAACTAATTTTCCAAAAAAAATATACGTATCGTATTTATGAATAAATTTACTGCGTCACAATGCCGCCCACTTGGCGCATTGGTTAGAGCATCTGCTCAATAGTTGCAAAGTAAGGAGTTGGTTCTTACAATCCCGGTTACGAATCCCACTGCGGGACCGGTGTCGCATTATATTTGGTCCGCCTCGTTTAAAGGTTCGGGGGGACTTAATACGATAACATATAAGGCCCGCCTTTTATAAGAAAAGGTCCTTCGGAAGTTCTTGCACTTTGAAGATTCCTTGGTGCTCAGAAGCCGTAAGTGCCGAGTACAGGTCTAAATTTGGAGCCCTTCACCGGCAATGAAACAGGCAGGGAAATATTGAACAGTATTCAAGCTAAATCCATTAAACAAAACAAAATTGGTGCAGAGCAAACACGGACCTCCAAAAGATCAGAGGTGGGATCAGGTGCCATG